CAACTATATGGGATTAAACCCTACTTGTACTTAAGGAATTAATTAATATTAATTAATTGGGGTGGAAACCACCTCATCACTATTTTAAGGTTACATATTGTTTTGACTTGATAATTAATTAGTGTATATAATGTAAGGCCCTGAAATTTTCCCACAAGAATATGCCCAAACAAATACAACAATATACCCAAAAAGTTCACCTTCCCACTGAACTAAGAGATAAGAGGTTACAATTTACTATATACATTCCCATAATGTTCAGAATTCGTGTTCCAGTTCAATGAACTAGGTGGTCTTACAAAATATAAGCCTCTAGGGCGTACAATTACAACAAAATAAGTTAATAGTCTTGTCACAAAAATCTCAATTCAAAATAACAAAATACACATGGATCAACTTTTCCAAAAGGGCTATTGTTAGACTAATCCTCCAGGGAGGTGGAACTCCATCATTTCTTGAAAAAAAAAAATAAGATAGGGTTGAGCTATATACCCAACAGGAAGGCATTTAACCAAGTAGTTAATCCTTTGAATAAGATTATAGTATCTTTACGACCAAACATTACATGGAAAATTATCTTTACATGTAATCCTTAACAAACATACAGATTCATGACAACCAAATAATAACTGTGACTATTCATGTCATCTACCACAACAATCAAACATTCACAACCATAGAACGCAAACCATGAGTCCACCTGTAAGAGTCCAATTAAAAACACCCTTTACTTTTGTTTTTAAAACCACCCCCACATTTGCTGGCTATTATACGGTAGAGAGTGGGCACCCCAAAGAAAACCATTCGTTTTTCCACTTTTGCCGGCTATCATACGGCAAGACTATGTGGACACCCAAAAATATTTTTTTCACATTCGTCCAGCGATAAGCCTAGACAGGGCATTTGGGCACCTTTTTAAACTCCCTGCGCGGGTACCAACACAACACCACACTTGGAAAACCAACTCTTACCAGGACTCATGCACGATTAACAATTTGTTCATATTTTATTCCATCAACAACCATCCAACATTACCCAAGAGTTGAATACAACACAAGATTTAAGGAAAACAAATAACATCCAAGCCACAATTCTCTTACTATATCAACATCCACATCCTTCATCTATTTATTTTTCACAATATTTCATGAACCAAGGAAATTCTCAATTCAATGTGGTGTTTTTAACTCAAATAGAGAATCTAGAGTTTTTACCAATTTGGGGGTTTTTCTCCTCTATTATAGATATGGCTTGTAATAACATTTATATACATGTTTTGAAAAGAGGGAGTAAAGTAATCTCAAGCAAGAGTCAAGTAAAATGGTTTATTTACGTAAAACATGAGATTGATCCAACAATACTCTCCAATTAAGTCATAAATCACAATCATCCCATGAAATCCCTTCAAAACAAAGAAATACTAAGGTAAAAGTGTCCCTACCTCAAGTCATGAGAAAGAAAACCCAAAATACTCAAGGTTGACAAAGCCACAAACTTCTCGGAGCAATAGAAAGCTCTTGACAAGATCTTCAAGTTATCTCAAAGGATCAAGGTGAGAAGACACCTCTAAGAGTGTAGATCTAAGGATTGAAGTGGAAAAAGTGTGTTTTTGAGAGAAAGAGAGAGAGACTCTCGGTTTTGAGAGGAAAAAAAGGAGAAAAATTATGAGAAAGGTGGGGTTTGGCTCTATTTATAGTATTAGATGATAGCCCTAAGGTCAATGAAAATGATAAGTCCAAAAACCCCCAAAATAGGGCCCATTCGAAGTCCAAAATTATGAAAAAAACTTGCAGGGGTCAACCCTTCGAGCAAGGAGGTCGACCCTTTAGGTAGAAAGACAATCTGGAAACAAGCAAGGGGGTCGACCCTTAGACAGGAGTGGTCGACCCTATTTTCCAGCAACTATCACAGAAATTCTGCAACATAAGAGGGTCGACCCTCCCTAGACTGGTGTCTATCCTATTTTCCAACAACAACTCTAGAAACTTCACCAACAGGTAAGGGTCGACCTTTAGGAAGGCTAGCGTCTACCCTATTTTCCAACAACACTTCTTGAAACACTACAACATGCAAGGGTCGACCCTTAGGAAGGCTTGTGTCGACCCTAAGGCAAAATTTCTAAGTTTCCAAGGAACTTTTGACAAGAACAAACGCGAACTAACAAACCCAATGAGTTTAAATCAGATTGTACTCCTTCAAAACCAATAGACAACAACTCCAAAGACTCCCAAGATAAAAATAAGGATATTAAACACACCTTCCAATATATTAAAACACCCAAGTGTTACAACTTCTTCACCTTGGGAAATTTTGCCCTCCAAATAATATCCATCCTCACCATGATAACATGGTTTGGCAACAACATCATATTTGTTCAATCTTCAACAAACTCATAACCAAGCAAAACATATATATCAATTTGACTCCAAGACAAGGAAATAATAGAAGGTTTTTGGCTCATGCCCAATTCATCACGTACAAAAAAGAACAACAAAACAAATACATCACAATTTAGAAAATAAGTCCGGGTATTTCTCGCGAATCTCCGCTTTACGTTCCCATGTAGCTTCCTCCACACCGTGATGGTGCCATAACACTTTAACTAAGGGAATTGTTTTACCCCTAAAAACTTGTTCTCTAGTATCTAAGATTTGGAGTGGTTTTTCTTCATAAGACATATCTTCGACTATCTAAATCTCCGTCCAATCTAACACATGAGAGGGATCGGGTTCGTACTTGCGAAGCATAGATACGTGAAACACATTGTGGACTCAGGAGAGTTGTGGCGGCAATGCAAGGCGATATGCAACTTCTCCAATCCACTCAATGATATCAAAGGGGCCGATGAATCTAGGTGATAGCTTTCCGCTTTGGCCAAATCTCATCAACCCTTTTCTAGGAGATATCTTCACAAAGACATGGTCACCAACTTCAAAGGATAAGGGTTGTCTTCTTCTATCTGCGTAGCTCTTTTGTTGGCTTTGAGCGGTAACTAACCTTTTCAAAATGAGGGCTATTTTCTCGGTAGTTTCACGAACTAGATCTGAGCCTAGCAAGGGTGAATCTCCCACTTCAGTCCAACGTACCAGTGATCTACACGGACGCCCATACAATGCCTCGAAAGGTGCCATCTCGATGCTTGCTTGGTAGCTATTGTTATAAGCAAATTGAACTAAGGGTAGGTGTTTCTCCCAAGAACCTTTAAAATCTAGTACACATGCCCTCAACATGTCTTCCAAAATCTGAATAGTACGTTCGGATTTCCCGTCGGTCTGGGGGTGGTAAGCAGTACTAAAATTCAGTTAAGTACCTAAGGCACTTTGAAGGCTCTGCCATAGCCTGGCTGTAAAGAGAGGGTCTCTATCAGACACTATACTCACTGGCACCCCAAGGAGGCGAACAATCTCAAGGATGTAAAGTTTAGCTAGAAACTCTATGGAATCTCCCATGCACATGGCGAGGAAGTGAGCGGACTTTGTAAGTCTATCCACAATCACCCATATTGCATCATTACTTCTTTGAGTTCTGGGAAGGCCAAAAACAAAGTCTATGTTGATGTGTTCCCACTTCCATTCAGTAATCGAAAGAGGTTGTAGCAATCCTGCTGGTCTTTGGTGTTCAGCCTTAACTTGTTGACATGTCAAACACTTGGACACAAATGAGGCTACATCCTTTTTCATACCCCTCCACCAAAATTGACGACTCAGGTTATGGTACATTTTAGTGCCTTCGGGATGCACAGCTAGGCGGGAATGATGAAAGTTCCTCAAAACTTCATTTCTCATAGATTCAGGTACAAACAATCGGTCGAGGTAATGAACACTAGAATCTACATGAATATTTGAACCCCTCTCTTCATTCCCTTGAAGAATTCTCCCTTTAATTGCATCCACTTCTGGATCACCTAGTTGTGCTTCAACTACTCTTGCAACAAGGGTAGGTTGGGCGATGGTGGTGAAGAGGATAGCCTTTTTCTGGAGATTCACTGTGCTGTTATGAAAATTCATTGGCATCCTCTATCATTTTCCATTCCCTTATCGCTAGACTAGCCATTGTACTTACCGATTTTCTACTGAAAGCATCCGCTACTACATTGGCTTTACCGGGGTGGTAGTGTATTTCAAAATCATAGTCCTCTAGAAATTCCATCTATCTCCGTTGACGAAGATTCAAGTCTTTCTGGGAGAATAGATATTTGAGGCTTTTATGGTCGGAGAAGACTTCAAACTTTTCACCATACAGATAGTGTCTCCACAACTTCAAGGAAAAAACAACAACGGCTAGTTCTAAGTCGTGTGTCGGGTAGTTCCTTTCATGCGTCTTCAGTTGACGCGAGCCATATGCTACCACTTTTCCTTCATGCATTAGAACACATCCTAACCCCTCTCTTGAAGCATCATAATAGACCGTATAACTTAAGCCTTGTTCCGGAATGATGAGAATTGGAGCGGTGGTCAATCTAAGCTTTAGTTCTCGGAAAGCATTCTCGCAAGTTTCACGCCAAACAAACCTTACTCCCTTATGGGTCAATCTAGTTAATGGTGATGCTATAGAAGAGAAATTCTTTACAAATCGACGGTAGTAACCGGCTAAGCCCAGAAAGCTACGAACTTCTGAGGCGTTCTTAGGCTGCTCCCAATTCTGCACCGCTTCTATTTTTGAAAAATCCACCATAACTCCATCTCCCAAAACTAAGTGACCCAAGAACTTCATTTCGGAAAGGTAGAATTCACACTTCTCATGTTTTCGTACAAACGATGCTCCCTAAGAAGTTGCAAGATAGTACGAAGATGCCCTTCATGCTCTTATTCGGAAGGTGAATAGATAAGAATATTATCTACAAAGAAGACCACAAATTTATCAAGAAACTCCCGAAAGACCCTATTCATTAAATCCATGAATGTGGCTAGAGCATTAGTCAACCCAAAGGGCATAACCAAGAACTCATAATGACCATATCGGGTACGAAAGGCAGTTTTGGGAATGTCCTCCTCTCTAACTCAAATTTGGTGATAACCCGACCTTAAATCTATCTTGGAGAAACAACGAGAGCCTTTAAGTTGATCGAAGAGATCATCTATCCTGGGCAATGGGTATTTATTCTTGACTGTGGCTTGATTCAATTTACGATAATCTATACACAATCTTAGGGATCCGTCCTTCTTCTTTGCAAACAACGCCGAGGCTCCCCAAGGTGAGGTGCTAGGGCGTATAAAGCCCTTACTAAGTAACTCTTGCAACTGTTCCTTCAGAGCCACCAATTCAACTGGGGCAAATCTGTATGGCGACAAGGAGATAGGTTCCGTACCTAGAAGCAAGTCTATGGTGAACTCTACTTCCTTATGAGGAGGTAATTCTATAAGATCGTCAGGAAAGACATCGAGGTATTCACATACTACCTTTGGAAATTCGCCCCGAACTACACCACTTCCATCATCCAAAAAGGCAGTTAAAAGAGAATTAAACTGGCCCCGGCCACGTGGATAGTATGAGGAGGGTAAGGATCTACCGTACTTGTCTCCCAGAAACGTGAAACGATCACTGCTTGTAGTGCACACCGTAACTCTCTCTCGATAACAATCTATGGTCGCTCGGTACGTAAACAACCAATCCATACCGAGGATAACGTCAAAACTTGACATTTCTAGTAGGACAAAATTAAATAGAAGTTGTTGACCCGCCACCTCAATTACACACCCCTGACATCCCTGGGTTAGAATGATCTTACCCCCAACCAGTGACTCCACTGTAAGTGAAGATTGCAGTTGCCCACTCTTTAACCCCAACAATGATACAAAAGATGTGGCAATAAATGAATGTGATGCTCCAGTGTCAATCAACACATTAGCCCAAGTATTGAAAATGAGGAATATACCTCTCACAATTGATGGCCTCGACGTTTGTTCAGAAGTGGCGATAGCGTACACTCTTCCCTGTGACCTCTGCTTCCCTACATCACCTTTTTGAACATAAGCTTGTTGTGCAGATTGAGCAGATGTGGCTCCCTAAACTGTCCTGGATGCTTGTCCTGACTGAGCCGGCTGATAAGATTGCCTCTGTCCCTGACCCATCTGTAAACCTCCTGACTGTCTAGACCCTGCTACACTAGGAGTCCCCACTTTCTGCGGGCAGAACTTCTTCAAATGTCCCAGCTGACCACATAGATAATAAGATTGGGGCTGGCTCTTATTATGAGATTGACCCTGTGGACGCATAGGTTGGGGCCATGCTTCACTTTTCTGTCCACAGTCTGCAGCCTTGTGACCCATTTGGCCACATCTATAACAGGCACCAATAACTCGGGTCATGCTTCCCGAACTTCCATCCATCACAGAACTAGAGGATTTAGCTCGTGGTGGAGGCGATTGAAAGGATGATGATGAACACCTCGACCTCTTTGAAGAACTTGTGTCACCCCTAGCATCAGAATGTCCTACTCTCTTCAATCCCTGCCTTGCCTCTTCGGCCTCTACAGTAATCTCCACATGAGCTACCGCTTCAACTAAACGGTCATAATCACATATCATATTGCCAACCACCTTCATTAGGATCTTCGGTCTCAACCTTTTCTCAAATTCAAGGCACCTTCGTTCTTCCGTTGCCACTAATTCAAGTGCAAAACGTGAGAGGCTAGTAAATTTGGCTTCAAACTCTGCCACTGGTGCATCTAATTGTGATAACTCCTCAAACTGCTTTCTCAACCGCTCCCTAGCTGTGGGAGGGAGGAATTTATCTTGGAAGGTTTGCACAAATGCTTCCCAAGTATGTTCAACCCTATTTTTTATGGATTTCCACTATTGCCTGGCCTCCCCCTTCAACTGGTAGCCGCTATTGCCACCCGCAATTCATTTTCTCGAATGTCTAAGATCTCAAAGGACTTGACCAATTGCTCCAGCCACTCATCAGCTTTCATTAGATCAGGCTCGTCGTTATACTCGACGGGATTGGATCGAAAGAACTCCTTTTTCAAAAAGGAAGCTCTTGTTTCTCCCTCAATTGTTCTAGCCGCTTGCTCGGCTCTCAATATCTCCATGGACTCCCGTAGAGCCCCTGTCATTTCCCTAGCCAAGGTCCCCATAGCTTCTTGGGATGGTGGAACGGGTATATTATTTTGACCCACTCCTTCTTCTTGCGGAGGGATCTCAGGTTCGGTTGGAATATTCCTGCCTCCCTGACGGGGTCTACCGCGAGCTCTAACACGTTCAGACATCTATAAGAAGTAGAGACAATATTAAATTCAAGACCAACTCTCCGCACTCATGTGCTCCATTCTTAATCCGTACACCTATACACCCAATAAACACACAAACTTCCACATAGAATAATCCAAACAATCATACATACAATCAAATAAAAGCACGCGTGAGTTGTTATCCTAAGATATTAGCTAGTTCCATGGCAATCAAGGACCTCCACGTGGAAAGAACAGTGATCAAGTGCCTTTCCAAAAGGATTTGGATGAATGTAACGGGCAAAAGCCATATCATAGGATTCTCACCCCATATCCACATCATCACATGAAAACACATAACACACAAGACATCCAAAGCATTTTGTCCTAGCCTAGGGACCATATTGTGACTCACGTCACTTCCCACGAGCCCGAGGTATTCTAACCTATGGTTCTGATACCAGTTGTAAGGCCCTGAAATTTTCGCACAAGAATATACCCAAACAAATACAACAATATACCCAAAAAGTCCACCTTCCCACTGAACTAAAAGATAAGAGGTTACAATTTACTATATACATTCCCATAATGTTCAGAATTCGTGTCCCAGTTCAATGAACTAGGTGGTCTTACAAAACATAAGTCTCTAGGGCGTACAATTACAACAAAATAAGTTAATAGTCTTGTCACAAAAATCTCAATTCGAAATAACAAAATACACATGGATCAACTTTTCCAAAAGGGCTATTGTTAGACCAATCCTTCAGGGAGGTGGAACTCCATCATTTCCTGAAAAAAAAAAATAAGATAGGGTTGAGCTATATACCTAATAGGAACGCATTTAACCAAGTATTTAATCCTTTGAATAAGATTATAGCATCTTTGCGACCAAACATTACATGGAAATTTATCTTTACATGTAATCCTTAACAAACATACAGATCCATGACAACCAAATAATAATAGTGACTATTCATGTCATCTAGCACAACAATCAAACATGCACAACCATAGAACGCAAACCATGAGTCCATCTGTAGGAGTCCAATTAAAAACACCCTTTACTTTTGTTTTTAAAACCACCCCCACATTTGTCGGCTATTATACGACAGGGAGTGGGCACCCTAAACAAAACCATCGTTTTTCCACTTTTGCCGGCTATCATACGGCAAGACTGTCTGGACACCCAAAAACATTTTTCCCGCATTCGTCCAGTGACAAGCCTAGACAGGGCATTTGGGCACCTTTTTAAACTCCCTGCGTGGGTACCAACACAACACCACACTTGGAAAATCGACTCTTACCCAGACTCATGCATGATTAATAATTCATTCATATTTTATTCCATCAACAACCATCCAACATTACCCAAGAGTTGAATATAACACAAGATTTAAGGAAAACAAATAACATCCAAGCCACAATTCTTTTACTATATCAACATCCACATCCTTCATCTATTTATTTTTCATAATATTTTACCAGCCAAGGAAATTCCCAATTCAATGTGGTGTTTTTAACTCAAATAGAGAATCTAGGGTTTTTACCAATTTGGGGGGTTTTTCCCTCTATTATAGATATGGCTTGTAATAACATTTATATACATGTTTTGAAAAGAGGGAGTAAAGAAATCTCAAGCAAGAGTCAAGTAAAATGGTTTATTTATGTAAAACATGAGATTAATCCAATAATACTCTCCAATTAACTCATTTTTTCATAATATTTTACGAGCCAAGGAAATTCCCAATTCAATGTGGTGTTTTAAACTCAAATAGAGAATCTAGGGTTTTTACCAATTTGGGGGTTTTTCTCCTCTATTATAGATATGGCTTGTAATAACATTTATATACATGTTTTGAAAAGAGGGAGTAAAGAAATCTCAAGCAAGAGTCAAGTAAAATGGTTTACTTACGTAAAACATGAGATTGATCCAACAATACTCTCCAATTAACTCATAAATCACAATCATACCATGAAATCCCTTCAAAACAAAGAAATACTAAGGTAAAAGCATTCCTACCTCAAGTCGTGAGTAAGAAAACCCGAAATACTCAAGGTTGACGAAGCCACGAACTTCTCGGAGCAGTAGAAAGCGCTTGACAAGATCTTCAAGTTATCTCAAAGGATCAAGGTGAGAAGACACCTCTAAGAGTGTAGATCTAAGGATTGAAGTGGAAAAAGTGAGTTTTTGAGAGAAAGAGAGAGAGAGAGAGACTCTCGGTTTTGAGAGGAAAAAGAGGAGAAAAATTATGAGAGAGGTGGGGTTTGGGTCTATTTATAGTATTAGATGATAGCGCTAAGGTCAATGAAAAAGATAAGTCCAAAAACCCCCAAAAATAGGGCCCATTCGAAGCCCAAAATTCTGGAAAAAAACTCGCAGGGGTCGACCCTTCGGGCAAGGGGTTCGACCCTTTAGGTAGAAAGACAATCTGGCAACAAGCAAGGGGGTCGACCCTTGGACAGGAGGGGTCGACCCTATTTTCCAGCAACTAATACCGAAATTCTACAACATAAGAGGGTCGACCCTCCCCAAACTGGTGTCTACCCTATTTTCCAGCAACACCTCCAGAAACTTCACCAACAAGTAAGGGTCGACCCTTAGGAAGGCTGGTGTCTACCTTATTTTCCAGCAACACTTCTTGAAACACTACAACATGCAAGGGTCGACCCTTAGGAAGGCTAGTGTTGACCCCAAGGCAAAATTTCTAACTTTTCAAGGAACTTTTGACAAGAATAAACGCAAACGAACAAACCCAACGAGTTTAAATCAGATTGTACTCCTTCAAAACCAATAGACAACAACTCCAAAGACTCCCAAGATAAAAATAAGGATATTAAATACACCTTCCAATATATTAAAACACCCAAGTGTTACAAAGAAAACCGAGAAATTATATATAATTGAAAAATTAGTCGGGGTGGAGTGCCAAACACCCACTGGCAAAAACAAAAATCCACTACAAATGCTTAAAACAAATTTCATTCCTAAAGAATGTTAATCCACTATCCCAATTTTATATTAGGTTTTAAAAGGGACATTCAGACTACAATTTTAAATTTTTTAGCTAAAAGAACATCAATTTGTCCAAATGATACATATATGTCTAAGTTTTGTTTATTTATTTATTTATACATGTCTTTTTTCTGTCCACCTTATTACCATCAGCTGCCACCGCCAATCACCACGAACAATTTTTCCAACAATTTTTTTGACACCGATGACTTTTTCTAATGTGTCCTTATCACCAAAATTGTTCTCTAAAAAAGTAAATATTATTTTCTCCTTAAAAATGTATTTATTAGGAACATTTTAAAAATATTATCGTTAAAAAGTCTATTTTTTTACTTTGATCTGCCATTTTATTAACTCATTGTCTGATAATATAAGAATTGATCTACTGAAATTTATTTCTTAGAACTATTATATATTGTAGTTTAAAGAAGTTAATGCTGGTTAATGTCACTCACATTTAGTAACTATCACATCCAATAATAACATAACAAAATTTTTGACCAAAAATATTAAATGATTTTTGTTCATTCATTAAACTGCCTTTAATAATCAAATCATGTAAAAGGTTAAATTTAAAATTACAAACCTACGACATTTACACTCACCGCTTTAGAAGTTCGCTCTAATCAACATCTCATGAGGAGTAAACATTGGGTGTTGCTTAGCACCATGGTTTTTGGGTTGTCTCACGCAAAAGATGCTTCTTCGTATAATCCAATTAATCTAAGGAAAATGTCTCGTAGCTCAAATTTTGTGGCTCAAAAGTGGCTCAAATGGCCAAAACGACGTCGTTTTAGCCATTTTTATGTTGTTCGAAAAAAGAAAGAAAAAAAGAAACAGTTTCCAAAAATGGAAATTAGGGGCATTAGGGGCAAATTTTTTAGGGCCACCAATCATTTTCCAATCCAATTAATCTAAAAAATATTTGGAGATTGGTTCTTACAATAATGAAAAATGATTTGTAGCTCGAAATTAAGAGCTTGAATGGCCCGAATAAAAAGCAAAGGTGTTTTCTCTCTCCTCAGACTCCGAAACCATCTGTTTGTACTCACTCTCCTTAGACTCCAATATACTCTCTCTATTCACTCCAAAAGCATTCAAGCCCTTAACTTAATTCCTCTTTGAAATCCTCTCATCCGATCCTCTCATCCTTCATCCATCTGTGAAACATCCGACTCTGTGAATGCATAGAAAAATGGAAATTAGGGGCATTAGGGGCAAATTTTTTAGGGCCACCAATCATTTTCCAATCCAATTAATCTAAAAAATATTTGGAGATCAAGCATTTTTCTAATGAAAAATGATTTGTAGCTCGAAATTAAGAGCTCGAATGGCCCGAATAAAAAGCAAAGGTGTTTTCTCTCTCCTCAGACTCCGAAACCATCTGTTTGTACTCACTCTCCTCAGACTCCAATATACTCCCTCTATTCACTCCAAAAGCATTCAAGCCCTTAACTTAATTTCTCTTTGAAATCCTCTCATCCGATCCTCTCATCCTTCATCCATCTGTGAAACATCCGACTCTGTGAATGCATAGAGACAGATCTTGAGCTACAGGTGTCGAATCACAGATGGAAAGTCGTTTACCTAGCAGAACAACAGGTAAACTTGAAATCGCAAAAAACATAGGGTTTATGTGTTCGCTTCAATTTTTGAACAACTTCATTGCACCAGACTATTTGTGTTATGATTCTGCTTGCAATTTGTGTTAGGGTTTTGGTTTTGAGTTGAATTTTTAGAACATGTTTTTCAGCCTTATGAATGAATGATTGTTAGGGTTCATAAAAATCCGGGTTTGGGCATTATGGGTTTTGCCTTAATTTTTTTTTTTTGGTTATGTTGATTTTGATTTAAACCAATATTCTAACTTCTGAATGTGGTTAACTTAATTTTTCTAACTTAATGTTCAAATGTGAATGAACATCTCTGACTCAATTTTTGTAACTTAATTTGCTTCACAAGGTTCAATTAGAAAAAACATGGACAATACAATGCTTAAAACTGTGCATTTGAAAGTTTATTATCTGTTGATGAAATCTGTTATTTACCCAAAATAAGGATTACTCTTGGATATCTGTCTATGGAATATGGATTACTCTTTGGATATCCGTGTATGAAGGGTATGAAATCTGTCTATGGAACATGGATTACTCTTGGATATCTGTGTAAGAAGGGTATGAAATCTGTTTATGGAATATGGATTACTCTTGGATATCTGTCTAAGAAGGGTATGAAATCTGTCTATGGAATGTGACTTACTCTTGGATATCTGTCTAAGAAGGGTATGAAATCTGTCTA